ACCCAAATTAAAAAATCCTAAAATTCAAATTTCTCACCCAAAATCTTTCATTTTACACCCAAATTAAAAAATCCTAAAATTCAAATTTCTCACCCAAAATCCTCCGTTTTCAACCCAAATTAAAAAATCCTAAAATTTGAATTTCTCACCCAAAATCCTCCGTTTTCATCCCAAATTCAAAAATCCTAAAATTCGAATTTCTCACCCAAAATCTTTCATTTTAAACCCAAATTTAAAAATCCTAAAATTCAAATTTCACACCCAAAATCCTCCGTTTTCATCCCAAATTCAAAAATCCTAAAATTCGAATTTCTCACCCAAAATCCTCCGTTTTCAACCCAAATTAAAAAATCCTAGAATTGAAATTTCTCACCCAAAATCCTCTATTTTGAATCCATACCAAAAAAATCCTAAAATTGAAATTTTCCTCCCAAAATCCTGATTTTCTCACCCCAAGGAGGGACGAAAGACCCAAATTTTTGAAGCGTTAAAATCCAAATTTTGACGCCTCAAAAATTCAAATTTTGAAGCGTCAAAATCCAAATTTTGACGCCTCAAAAATCCAAATTTTGAAGCCTTAAAATCTGAATTTTGGAGCCTAAAAAATCCAAATTTTGAACTTCAAAAATCCGAATTCTGAAGCCTCAAAAATCCAAATTTTGAAGGTTTAAAATTCCGATTTTTTCCCCCAAAGTTTTGCGGGGTGGGCGGCGGAATTGGGGTAAAATCGTGGAATTTTGGGTTTTTTCCCGTTTTTGGCAGGAGCGAGGAGGTGAAATGTGAGAAACCCGTCCCCGTCTGCACCGACATGAAAATTCACGTTTGCAATTTTTCCCTAAAAAACGAAGTTTTGGAGAAAGTCCTGAAAAAATTCCAAGGTGGGTGGGAAAATTGGGAAAAAAAGGGGAAAAAATGGGGAAAAAATGGGGAAAAAAAGGTGAAAAATGGTTGAAAAATGGTTAAAAAAATGGGTAAAAAATGGTTTAAAAATGGTTTAAAAAAGGGTTAAAATGGTTTAAAAAAGGTTAAGAAAAGGGTAAAAAAAAGGTTAAAATATGGTTTAAAAATGGGGAAAAAAGGTTAAAAAATGGTTAAAAAAAGGTTGAAAAATTGCAAAAAAAAGGTGAAAAAAGGTTTAAAAAGGGTTAAAAAAAGGTTAAAAAAGGGTAAAAAAAGTTGAAAAAAGGTTAAAAAAAGTTGAAAAAAGGTTAAAAAAAGGTAAAATAAAGGTAAAATAAAAGGTTTAAAAATTGTTAAAAACAGGTTAAAATATATTATATTATATTATATTATATTATATTATATTATATTATATTATATTATATTATATTATATTATATTATATTATATTATATTATATTATATTATATTATATTATATTATATTATATTATATTATATTATATTATATTATATTATATTATATTATATTATATTATATTATATTATATTATATTATATTATATTATATTATATTATATTTTAGTTCTTTGTTTTACTATTTGTTTTATTATTTTATATTATATATTTTTTATTTTCTTTTATATTTTTTATTTCATTATTTTCTATTATATTTTACTATTTTATGTTATATTTATTTTATTTTTAATGTTATTATTTTATATGCTATTTTATTATTTTCTTTTATATTTTTTATTTTATTATTTTCTATTTTATTCTTTTACTTTATTTCATTTTTTCTCTCTGTTGTCACCACTCCCATCCGGTTTTTTTTTCTCCTTTTCAGAACAGCTGCAGGACGAGCTGGGAAGGGGTGAAAAAGGTAAAAAAAATGGTAAAAAAGGTAAAAAAATGGTAAAAAAGGTAAAAAAAATGTAAAAAAGGTAAAAAAATTGGTAAAAAATAATAAAATTGTAAAAAAAATGGTAAAAAAGGTAAAAAATAATGTTAGAAAAGGTAAAAAAATGGTGAAAAAGGTAAATTAAAAAATGGTAAAAAAGGTAAAAATAAATTGTAAAAAAGGTAAAAAATAATGGTAAAAAAATGGTAAAAAAGGTAAAAAATAATGTTAGAAAAGGTAAAAAAATGGTGAAAAAGGTAAATTAAAAATGGTAAAAAAAGGTGGTAAAAAAATGGTAAAAAAGGTAAAAAAAATGTAAAAAAATCGTAAAAATAAGGTAAAAAATAATGTTAGCAAAGGTAAAAAATGGTGGAGAAGGTAAATTAAAAAATGGTTAAAAAAGGTAAAAATAAATTGTAAAAAAGGTAAAAAATAATGGTAAAAAATAATAAAATTGTAAAAAAAAATGGTAAAAAAGGTAAAAAATAATGTTAGAAAAGGTAAAAAATAATGTTAGAAAAGGTAAATTAAAAATGGTAAAAAAAGGTAAAAATAAATTGTAAAAAAGGTTAAAAAAAGGTAAAAAAGGTAAAAAAATAATGGTAAAAAAATGGTAAAAAAGGTAAAAAATAATGTTAGAAAAGGTAAAAAAATGGTGGAAAAGGTGAATTAAAAAATGGTTAAAAAAGGTAAAAATAAATTGTAAAAAATAATGGTAAAAAATGGTAAAAAAGGTAAAAAATAATGTTAGAAAAGGTAAAAAAATGGTGAACAAGGTAAATTAAAAATGGTAAAAAAGGTGGTAAAAAAATTGTAAAAAATGGTGAACAAGGTAAATTAAAAAATGGTTAAAAAAGGTAAAAATAAATTGTAAAAAAGGTTAAAAAAAGGTAAAAAAGGTAAAAAATAATGGTAAAAAATAATGTTAGAAAAGGTAAAAAAATGGTGAAAAAGGTAAATTAAAAAATGATTAAAAAGGTAAAAATAAATTGTAAAAAAGAAAAAAAAAGTAAAAAAAAGGTAAAAAAAAATGTTAGAAAAGGTAAAAAAATGGTGGAGAAGGTAAATGAAAAAATGGTTAAAAAAGGAAAAAAAAAAAGGTAAAAAAGGTAAAAAAAATGGTAAAAAAGGTAAAAAAATGGTAAAAAAGGTAAAAAAGTTAATTTAGAATTTAACTCCTTTTCAATTAAACCCCATCAGATTTAATGGATTTTTTTAAAAATTAAGAATTTAACTCGTTTTCAATTAAATCCCAGCAGAACTTAATTAATTTTTAAAGTTAATTAAAAGCAATTGTCCTCTGCTGTCCCTGCTGGGTTGGTGGCTCCTGAAGTAGTTGAGATACGAAAATGAAAGGTGGAACCTGAGATCCAAAATTTGGTGGAAACCAAAAATGTTGATCCCAAAACCCATCAACCCCACCTCAAATCAACTTTTTAGTCCCTCAGACCTTCCTGACCTCGTGTCTTCTTCTGTATCTTCTGGTTTGGTGGCACCTAAAGTAGTTGAGATACGAAAATGGAAGAACGTTCTCTCCTGAGATCCAAAATTTGGAGAAAACCAAAAAAACGGATCAAAAAACCCATCAACCCAACCTTGAGTCAAGTTTTAATCCCTCAAACCATCCTGACCTCGTGTCTTCTTCTGTATCTTCTGGGTTGGTGCCACCAAAAGTAGTTGAGATATGAAAATGGAAGAACGTTCTCTCCTGAGATCCAAAATCTGGAGAAAACCAAAAAACCGGATCCAAAAACCCATCAACCCCACCTCAAATCAACTTTTTAATCCCTCAGACCTTCCTGACCTCGTGTCTTCTTCTGTATCTTCTGGTTTGGTGCCACCTAAAGTAGTTGAGATATGAAAATGGAAGAATGTTTCCTCCTGAGATTCAAAATTTGGAGAAAACCAAAAATGTTGATCCAAAACCCATCAACCCAACCTTGAATCAACTTTTTAGTCCCTCAGAACTTCCTGATCTCGTGTCTTCTCCTGTATCTTCTGGTTTGGTGCCACCAAAAGTAGTTGAGATATGAAAATGAAAGTAGAACGTGCTCCTGAGATCCAAAATTTGGAGAAAACCAAAAATGTCGATCTCAAAACCCATCAACCCCACCTCAAATCAACTTTTTAGTCCCTCAGAACTTCCTGA